TGCCATGGCGCCATCGGTGGTGTTAACACGGGTGAAAAATCAAAGCGATGACGTCACCATGCTTGGGCACCGCGCGATAGCAATAAAGACGGAAGATTGTTTTCACGATGTACCCAATCATCATCATCATAATCATCATCATCAGCCTGACTACGTCCACTGCAGGACAAAGGCCTCTCCCATGTTCCGCCAGTCAACTCGGTCCTGCGCTTGCTGCTGCCAATTTATACCCAAACATGCTGTCCTAAAAACTTCTACGACCTTTAATACTACAGCAATGACGTCATCATATGGCGTCGCCAATCGGCATTTGGGACACCAGAATGTTGTCGCTACATAACGTATCGTCACATCACGTCATAACATGATGGCGTCAATACAGCAATCGAGAATAAAAAAAAAGAAAATTGCGTTCTAGCTCGAGTCGTGTCAGGCGAAGACTTGAGGGACGCTCCGAGTTTTTTTTTTAAGGTTCCATTGTTGTCAGCGATCCGCTACAGATCATGTGTAATGGGAACTGCAGCGACATTTTTTTTTCTTTTTGACTCGCTCGCTGGATTCCGTGCCGACCGGTTGTGCGCCCGCGCGCTCCGCGCGCTCGCGACCTTCGGCGTCATCGTAGCTCTGGCCGACTGGGCTCGCCCTACGTCACCTCCTGTCGCCGACGACCTTCGACGACAGTGTAGCTCTGACCTACTGGACCTGCTCTACGCCATCTACAGACGCCGACAACATCTCTCGCAAGTGTACCCCGTCCTCGGACTCCAGTGACCGTGCTTCCATCTTTCCTGTCTCTCCTATCCCCTCAGTTTGTTGTTGCTTCTTCTTCCTCTTTTCTACACCTTTACTTCTTCCCTTTTTATTCCTCCTCACCCCCATCCCTTGTGAGCCCTGTGGCGGTGTCGCTCACTGAAGCAGACAATAACGGGGCTCACTTTTCTCTTCCTTTCTCTATCTTAAGAACCACTCGCAGCGACATTTTTAAAAGCGTCTTGTGAAGAGAGGAGCTTGAAGAACGTTAGGAGAAATTGTCCAAGGCCACTGGAAGAAACTACGTGTTCATTTTCAGTGAGCTTGCACAATTTGGGGTCACTCATCGCCCAAACAATAAACTGATGAAAGATCTGGCTTCGATGTATTACAATAACGGCAGTGACACTGGTACGCATCATTTTGATGTGCGCTAGGATGACCACCTAATGCAGATCTTTAAATTCATCTTTCGCGTTGAAGTAATCATCTTTCAATTCGTATTGACAACGGTGTGAGCAAGCGCTCGCTACTAGCTAGTACTGGTCAGTTAACAATATTAAAGCATAATTTTTTAAAGCTCTGCTGTTATTTCCTTGAGAGAAGCAGCTCGCCATGCTATCCGAGTGTGAAGAACCTTGTTTGATTGTTTTTAAAAGTCTTTTCATCATATTGTTTATGCAAATTTGATTGCTCTGTTTGTTTATGATATGTGGGGTCCCAAAACCACCATATGATTATGAAAGACGTCATAGTGGAGGGCTCCGGAAATTTAGACCACCTGGGGTTCTTTAACGTGCACCCAAATCTGAGCACACGGACCTACAACATTTCCGCCTCCATCGGAAATACAGCCGCCGCAGCCGGGATTGGATCCCGCGACTTTTGCTGTATGTTTCTAACGAAAAAAATTTCTACCATGTCATTCAATACAAAGATAAGGAATGTGCTTTTGGAGTGTGATATCTGATAGGGTACCGTGAAACAGGCGAGTAATGACACAGAAGCGTTTGTGATGTCATAAAAAAGAAAGATGGACTCCTTTTATTGTACTCACCAACGTACGTTTGGCACTTTATAAACAAACAAATAAAATTACGCGTTAGGCGCATGATAATATGTACATGTTTTTGCTACCGTAACCGCCATCATCAACGTCATCACACACATTTCTCCTGGTATTGTTACTGTCACCACTGTCGTCGAATCGCCATTGAGCTTCTGTGCGAGTACATGGGCGTGTGTTATTTACAAGAAATATTGACGCCGTCCACACAAATGGAGTTACAGGCGCTTCGCGAATGCTAGCGAAAGAAGTTAAATTTTGCAGCCTTAAAAGTGGACCTCTTATTCAAAACTTTAAAGCTGCCATTCCTGTGATTTGAAACAAGCTGGCGCAGCAAGTGCACCCCAACATTCGTTTCGTTATGTCTCACTTTTGTTTTCATCTGCAATTCATTCCTCTACGATTCGTACGTATAATGTGCCGCCAAATATTACCATCAAGAATAACACTATCAGCTGCGTGCTGAATAGTACAGGCGTCGATATTACCGGTAATTTCGGATAAAATAATTTCAGTTACACCCTTGGCGTCTTATTGTCCATGCGTTTGCGTAGACCATAGGACGGCTAATAAACGCCTAAGCTGTCTTGCTTTATTTTGGTTCTGCAGTGGCACTACAACAAGCGTCGAATGTAACAAGAAAGGTTCATATGACTTGTGTAAATATTTGAGTGCAACATTTGATTAGTTCTGGGGGGGGGGGGTACAATTATTTAAAAGCCAGCAGATATGAGCGTGGTAAGTTTTAGAAATTACACTCAAGATTGTATATTCATTGGCTCGCTGTGATTCCCAGTAAAAAAAAACTAAGTTAACCGGGAAGTGAATCTCAACGCATTTGAATTGCTGAACTGAGTGTTTCTACTGCAGCGTTCGAACGCCGTCAGGGTTTGCGAACCACAAACCACCTGTAATCGCACAGAGACGGGACCAACAAAAAGATTCTTTGCGTTCAAGACTGACGAAAAAGTGTGCACCAAACTGCAACGAAGATGCCGAAATATCCACGTGTTACGTCATGATGTTATCACTGGTAGCCAGTTGTTGGGACGGCAGCATGTGAACTAAAATTCCTTACCAGCAATACCTATATCGCATGCTCTCATAAAACGGCTTACGAGTGACTAGGCAAGAGAGCGTCTCAGAGATCTTCATAAAACAGGAATGAGCTTACAGCAATGTATTGCTAAAAGCAATGTATCGCCAGTAATTTTTGGCCTCATAAAAAAGAATGAACGCCCTCTTAAGCATCGTTTTGCCCCATCGTGCATTTCTTGAGGTTTAAATGAAGCATACTGAACATACCTTATAAATTATTAACATTTAACATGGCATTATTAGTTAGCGTTTCTTACTTATCAGCACGTAAGAGACGACCGTGCATGCACTGACGTATGACTTCTTTCGGCGTAATCAACGTAAACAAATATTCTCTTATAGATGCGCGCTTCATTGGGAGCCTGTCTTTGGCTGTAGTCTCCCACATTTCGAACTGAGCAACTTTTGATGCTGTACTTTACTACGTTACGAGCTTTTTTTCCGTTGGTTAAATATTATCGGGAAATATAAAAAACCGTAGATGAAAGAACAATATTTCAAATCTATCCAAGTGCGATAGTATGTTTTTATGGCAGCCATTTTCCAGTAATCATAATATCACCGGAAAGGTACAGCCAGTGCTCTAAAAAGCACCAGCAGCTCTTGATCAACAGAGAGCAAAAAAAAAAACAACAATAAAATATAATTATTCAAAGCTCAACATACAAAGAAACTTACGAGTGATTTCGTTAAAACTACTGATTTAACCAGCTCAAAGGGCAGCGAATTTTAGTTCAAGGGTACGAAATCTATGGTACATGACCCAATAACAATTCAGTACTATTACATGTTTAGGTTCGGTGTTTTGATAAAAACTAATGTTGCTTTGATAATTAATCTCCCCCTTGGCAACGAAACTTTTTTATTTTCAATGTGCAAAATTTCATGACATCTACCATACTTGAAGCCGAAGTTTTGTTATTCACTAGGAACTGTACACGCTGACTCGCCATGCGCAGTTATTATGCTAATGCTGCTAAAGTTTGCTCCGTGATGAAAACACTCTTTTTGCTCGACATACTACGTGTCTACGGTATTTCCAAGATGCGAACTCGCAAAAAGATTTTTCCGACGCAGAGAATGAAATTGTTGCGGACAAAACGCTACGAAGTTCTTCTACGGTGTCTTATGAAAACGACAAGAGATTATATCTCCGTCACTCCTGAGTGACTGTGCCTGCCATCAAAATATGACTATGCGGATAATGAAAGAAGAGCATGAGATTCGAAGTGACGATTTTAACGTGTGCGTCAATGAGCAATATTGATGAGTCGGAATGGAATGGTTAGAAGCGAACCACATAAACACTAAATATTATATGAAAATAATAATGAAGAAACAATTATTTTATGTCTGACGTGATTTCCACATCCTTACCCACAGAAATTCTCAGCATAAAATCTCTTTTTGAGCTTCTTTAAATGATATGCACAAGAATATATTGAGTTACTGGTCTCTTTATTACAGCTCCAAGTTAAAAGCTCTCAGATGAAATTTCTAAATGCTTGTTTTGGTTTCAACGCTGATTTATTGTAAGTCTAAATGAATACCGGCTATAGTTATGGTGCACAAAATAAGGCTCAGAATGTTTCTTACATTGCTTTCGGCTATCCGCTGAATGACTACGTTTGTTAGTGGTCATTTATTACGTGATTGATAACCACTAACAGATGAGCCTGACTTTCATCTCTGAAAAAGACAGAAGAAAGTGAACCAACGCTACGGTCATGTGGCGCTCAAGCTACTGTCAAAAACATTTCGCATTATAGCACCGATCGTAACGAACATGTACAATTTTGAAGTTTGGTGACGCGCACTTGGTTGGAGTAGCAGCCCGCCCTTTCGATACAGTCTTCCACAGAGAGAACGCAAGTAACCGCGAAAGTGCAAAAGTCCGAAAAGAGAAATGACCAGCGTACGCCTAGCGTAACGCGTGTGGCAATGTCCTCCCTACGTTTCTTTGCTTGGGAAATCGCCTCGCGTCACGAAAGATTTGTGGCGTTCGATTCCAGTTGAGCCGTTGGCGTGCCGTGTTGCCCTCCGCGTCACTGGTGCAGTCAGCAGGGGCCCGGTGCCGCACGCTTACAGTCCGGCACGGCGCGCGGCAACGTTGTCGATGCACGTTCAAGGGAATGCCGCAACACGTCACGACATGGTCAACACGAAGCCGACGGCGATGAGAGAAAGCAGTGACGTGGACAGCACTGAGCTCCCTAGGGGCGTCGCGCTGCCGTGCAGCTGTAAGTCTGCAGAAGTGAGAACAGAGAAAATATATGATGAAGAGCCGAAGGACTTAAGGCAAGGTGCGAGAGTATATAGCAAGAATTACCTACAGACGATGTCACAGAGGTGTAAAGTGCGTTTGCTTCGTACAATAGCCCGTTCTAATAAGACCTAACTTCAACAGCAACATTACAAGTATCGACATAAGAGCGGAGACATAAATTGGTATTAGCGCCCACAAGTTGTTCATCAGCACTTGATGTTCAATAACCTATCACGACATATTCATATTGCTATATAAAAGGGCTTGCCTGCTTTCTCCTGGGCGCTAAGGGCACATCGATGAAAGGCGCAGCGAGAACGTGAAAAATTGTGCATTCGTACAAATCGAGGAAGTTGGTATAGATGCATGTTTTACTACGAGTGCGCGAAGACGCAAAGCGATGCGAGGCCGACTCACCAAGAATGCTGACTTACAACAGGTCTATTGCTGTTAACCACATACACATAGCAAAAATGCACACGCATTTGTGAAACAACATAATTTGCCGACGCACTTAGTTTAAATAATTGGACGACTTTCCGTCATATATTTGGTCAATAATGATAAACAGTCCACCACGAGTGAGTGTTCGGTGTGCCTCTCGCTTTGCTATTACTTGGTTTTTATTTCCCGCTGCGAGTTCACAAAAGAGTGCACGGCACCAAGCGAATGCAACTTACCTCCAATTTTCACAACAGCGGGTGTGTAAGACGGCCTCTGGTCTCTGGAAGCCTCAGACAGATCCTGGGGTTTTGTCGTCACCACAGCTGCATGAAAGATGAGAAGCGCATATAACGTTTCCTTGTGCTTGTCATCCTAGCAGAATTCTTCTAAATTATTTCTCGAATGCGTACAGGTGAAGGTGCTGCAAATTATTGCTTAGCATCTGTCTTCTAGTATTCACAGTTAACTAGTCACAAGCGGTTAAAAAGTTGAAGCAAAAAGTGGACGCCTCTTCAATACAACACAAAAGAGTGCATATAGGAAAAATTTTCTATATGCACTTGTGCAATATTTGATATAATGCAATATTTGATAACGAAAGGCTTCAAGTCCTCTGTATCGTAAAAACAAAAAAAAATATTAGAAAAAATACATCGACAAAGTCTCATTCCTACGCACTTCCTCAAGGAGCGTTTAAAAAGCTTTAATTGAAGATACTGCTTAGTTTTTAGTGCGTAAACTCTTTCGAACAAAAACGTCATTGTACGCCTATTTCCAGATAGTAAAAAACATCGTTCGTGATTTAAAAGATTTGCTGTGTAACACGAATCATCGGGTGAGTAAAGTAAACAAAAAAATGCAGAATCCCGTTCGTGTTTTTGATCATCTTGCCAATTTACCCCAGCTTTATTTATTGATATTCTGCCGAGTAATTACAACAAGCGGCATGGGATACGAATATATCGCAGCGATATCGTAGATTGGTGGGATAACAATATGTTCGTCGCTGTACGATCATTCTAGGAAATAATATAGAGCTATCAATAATCAAAAGTGTTGATAATACACATAAATTGACATTCCCTATAAGGACTTCTAACAACCTGCATTTTTAAATAAAGAAGACATGCGTGGTTACAAATTTTTATCACACAGCTCACATAGAACACCTCGTCATGATACCCATTAACACTACAGTCAGGAATGCCCAAGAGTTTGGCAAAAGCAACAACAACAAAAAAAACTTGTCAGAAGATTTCTTCTGAATAATGCTCAAAGGGCAGTATAGGTTAGCTCGTTGCGTGCATTTTCATCACGTTCAACGATTACCAACAGACAACGAAGCCAAGTAAAGTATGCGGGAAGTTATCTTGCGTATTAGGGCTTCTCCTTCACCCAGAAATATGTCGGCACTCACGAGGCTATTATTCATCCAGTTACCGAAGTGTACTTACGAGACCATGTATATCCTTTAGCTAGCTAATAGAAGTGTGAGACTTCTTTTCAGAAAATGCACTAACTCGTCCAGCAATGCATTCTAGTAAGACTTACCAGCTTATAAATTTGAAAGGATAGCAGTTTCTAAGCAATTTTGTTTACTTTGATAGCTTAAAAAACTGTTGCTCCAATTTTAAATAGTGTGCCTCTTCTGTGAACTGGCGTGTTCTACTTACTGGGTGCATAATTCCTAATGCGTGCTGGTTCTTTCACATTTTACGAATTATTTTGATGTCAGCATTGCTTACTGAATGTATGACAATTTGCGCTGGCTGAACGCAGTGCGAAACTCTCAAAGAAATTATTAAGACGCAAGATTAGCAGTGTGCGCCATGAATTGATTTAAAAAGTGCCTTCACTGATTGATTGATTGATTGATTTTAAAAGCGCTTCAAATAATGTTAAAAATAAGAAAATTTTACAAATCTAACTGCTTTATACGAATGCATACGGCCAAGTCGATATTTGAACTGCGGCGCTCCTAATTTTAAAAGCTGTACAAAGCAAACCCAAAGCGCGTTTAGTTTGCACTTCCAACTGTGAAAGAAGTTCGCAACTGGCCTTAATGGCTCTGCACTAATGAGAGTGTTCGGAGACACTCACCCCGATCGCTGGGCCTTGTCAGGGAGTTTCGCATTTGGCCGTTGCGCAATTTTTCCGATTTCGCTCGAAATGCCTCGGGCGAGTGTGACGTGGATGACGAGCTGGCTGGAATCTCTGCACCATTCAAAGAAAAGCAAGGGCTTCCTGTCAGGAAAGGCCGCTCGGCCAATGAACCCACTCTTCCCTACCGCTGAATAGCCCAGGTCGTAAAACTCTTTACAATTACGGATAGCTGATTGACTTATTATTATGTAATCCACGAACGGCAATACTGCTATGCACACCAGATCCTACTGAAGCAGAGAGTTAACGTTACTTACAGAAAGTGTGCTAATCCTGCTACACGGGTCAATTGAAGTGCACTTTGAGGGGCCACTTTACCACTAGTGTTATTCGTACGCTGTTACACGGGAACGTTTAGTGGCGCTCGCTGCAAAACACACTTGCCCTGATTGCGTTCGCCAAACTCACTTCACCACGATGGAGTGTCTAAGCCTGGGTATCAGTGACTCGAAAATAAATAGTCATTATCCGAAGTGGAGTCCACCACGTCTTCAAAGTATCCTTTTCAGTAATTGGGAATGTTGTTATGCATTGAAACATGCTATACAACAAGAAAGCCACTATGTTAGGCTCGCTCTCAGGCAGATTACAGACACGACCACCACAGGCATGCACAGCGCACGCCGTGCAATAACTGAAGCCACTGCATTTGTGCATAATGTCTATAATAAGGACTGCTTATAACTGTGACACAATACTAAAAAAGGAAGGTTTTCTCAAGCAACAAATATCTGCTCCGCTACTAAATACTCATCGTTATTACCATCATTGTCTCAAGTACACTTCCCTGTCTCGTGTAGCAGGCCGCTTCCATAGGGCTGTGGGGTGTTAAGTGCACTAGCTGATAATGACACTAAGCTTGTCAGCGTGACTTGGGTATAAATATCTTGAAGAAACTGAAGCTTGGGCGCGTTTCTAAGGATTATTTAAGAAAGTAATATAAGTGCGCAGGCAATAACGAAAAGAGTGGCTTTGATTTTACTTATCCTGTACACTTTCCTTAATAAATAGCCCCGCCGCGGTGGTCTAGTCGCTAAGGTACTCGGCTGCTGACCCGCAGGTCGCGGGTTCGAATCCCGGCTGCTGGCGGCTGCATTTCCTATGAAGGCGTAAATGTTGTAGGCCCGTGTGCTCAGTTTGGGTGCACGTTAAAGAACCCCAGGTGGTCAAAATTTCCGGAGCCCTCCACCACGGCCTCTCTCATAATCATGTGAGGGTTTTGGGACGTTAAACCTCACATATCAATCAATCCTTAATACATAAGCGCAGTTAGTACCTTTCTAACAAATGTAACTATTGGAAGAGCTAAGCGAAAATGTGGGGGAGAGGCATATGTCAGAAGGTCATCACAGCACTGACTACGAATCAGCCGTCTTCTGCAGTCGGGAATATTTATAGCAAAATAACAAAGTTCGCAGAACTTTTTTGTAGTCACTGCCAAGACATTGCCTAATATGTTGCATATAACATTTGTGGCTAACTGCAGTGGCTACTCAAACTCTTTAGTTCTGGTCTAGTTACGGTAAGACATAAAAAAAAACTAGAACACTAACTATCCACTTCGACATTGCCGGAAATGTTTGCCCAGACGAGTAACAACCGGTCTCCCATGTATACAGTCCTCCTTCAGTGAGACGGATTGGTTGGCTTTTCCTGGCGACATCGTGTACTGGGGAACAGCGGAATGCGAAGGTTAATGCTGCGAAAGAATGGCGTTGCGTATGGCGGCTTGGCTTACGCAAGGACACCAGTGACGAGACAATGTGGCCTCAGAGCACGAGTCGGTTGCGAAACTGGAACCGTTAGTTGGCTAACATAGTAGCGATGACAGGGTTGGAAGCGTGTTGTCCTCGTTTTCTTTCTCGATTACACTGTGGTCCCATATGCGCAGTAGTATCTATGCTGGAAACAGTTGTATACGCGTAGATATACATACTGAGGCCTCTTTATGATGTGTGTATCTATAGTTGCACAGCCTGAGGATCGCAAAAAGAATATTGGAAACAGCGGCAACGATATTTCTGTATTTGGCACTTTTTCTCCTTGTGCTCTGCCACTGCTAGATTCCTACAACGCACTTTTAGCTCAACAGCGAGGCAAAGAGGTTAGTGTAATTGACTACTGACCCGATTGGACGCGGGTACAATATCATCCGCAATGGTAGAGTACTGTGCAATTTCAGGGCGCGATACAGAACCCCAAGTGGTCAGCTATTTGAAGTCACTCACAACAGCGTCTCTCATACCCTGAGTCACTTTGTGGCGTTAAAACCCATAAACTAATGAACGGCCTGTTGTTTTCAAAGTATTGTTTAGCGAACAAAATTTACCAAGCGATACAACTCAACAAAATTGTAACTTTATTTACCGATTCGCTGCAATTTTCTGGTGTTAGGACTGCAGACTACAGTTTTGTTGTGCACTGATTTTTTTTAATATTAATATAAACTTGAATGGAATATGAAGATAAACTGTACTTAGAAGGCATTTTCACTATAAGAACAGCTAGTTGTTTAGGATTCATCATGCGTACTTTCGTAGTGCGATTTCACACGGTTTTAATCCAGCCGATGGCATGCACAGTTAAGTATGTTGTAACGTAATATAACAAAAAGAACCTTTGGTAACCGCACTTCGCGTAGACTTTCTGTGTCATCACAGACACAAAGAACAACAAAGGTTATGCTCCGTGTATTCGAAATACGAAATTTACACATTCAAAAGCTTACGCCGACTAAATACATTTTAGTAGCACATTGTAGCATGTCAGCACGTTTATACGCCGATAATAAACTCCCAGTATCTCTTTATTTTTAAAATTACTAACTAAGGGATCAAAAGGCGTTACACCTACAATGGGTCAGTAAAATGTCAATTTTAGTGAACATAGCTTTGAATGTTTTAATCTGAGGTGACATACCTTAACTGTTACAATTACAAATTCTGCGACACAATATAAACGCGCAACCATATAATCATTATCACATGCCTATTTGACGCAGACTAAAAAATAATTGAGAAAAGTGTATTTATCCCCTGATCTCACTTCGAAAATATCGCGAGAAACATTAGGTAAGCTGGACATGTACTATTCCAATTCTCTTGCCAAACAAAGCTCGCCAACAAAATGAAAAAAAAAAACAACAAATTTCGTACAGGGAAGCCATCCCGGGGTTCCCGAAAAAAAAATAATCAACGACGAGCAAAATCCTCGTGAATAGCCATGCGTTAAGTCCGGGTGGAGCAAGATATAAGGTCCTGCGGTTAGAAGGGATCCAGGAACGGAGGCAATTCATTTTCTCGAAGTACAAAGCAATAAAAATAACAAAAAAATGTCCACCACACACGCACTTACGACGCTAGTGGAAAGCAGCGCGTGCGTAAAAAGACATACAAATCGCAGGTTTTCGGCTTTGCGGGCAGTCGAAGCGCGGGCGAAGAAGGGAATTTAACGTTTTAATTACGGGAAAAGCGCGAAATTCCTCTCCACCAATCCTTCTTTCGCGATGGCAAGTCACTCCCTCCCCTCTCCTCTCCTCTCTCCTCTTCCTCCTCCTGTCTGCTCCCCAAACAGTGTGCTGTAGGGAACGACCCTCTGAGGCTGCGTGTAATGAATGGGCACTGAGAGTACTAAGGAGTGGACGGTGAAGAGGGTAGCCTCAAAAACGGCCGGAGAGGCAAAAAAAAAAAAAGCACGTATTGAGCGAGACGTAAAATACAAACGCCTCTTTTGATTTTTTTTTTGTTTTTTGGGAACAGGAGCAGATGAAAATAAAAAGTGGGTAATACAAAACGCTTTTTATTCGTAATTCGCAGATGATTCGTTTTCTCTCCCCCTCTCATTTCGTATGAAAAACCCAAGTACAGTACAGCGTGGCTCATTTGTCCTTATTTTCCTGACAGTTCCCGTTCTTTAAGCACAGATGTCATTTTCATTGCGGTGTTTTCCTGCTACGCAATAGACCTTTACCAGAGTCCTTCAATGCTTTGAAGTATTGAAGGACTCTGCCTATACGAAAGAGCTGAAAAGTTATCGAACGCACGTGCACGAGACTACGGTAACATGCGCAGTACAACACACAATACAGGCTCGCTCGCGCATGCACACATGGACATGAAAGGTAAGATTGTTATAAACCGTTATGTATGCGCCACTTGCACATACACACGCATACCTTCGCGCGAACGAACTTAAACACACGCACACACTCGTGCGCGATTGTGTACTGGCTTACATATATGGGCACACCCAGAGTGCCCATAATTGAGTAGTCATAAAAAGCTTTGCTGAAACTTCAAATGAACGCTAACAAAAGAGAAGAGTGCAGTGGGAGCTAAAAAAATAAACACTTCGTTTCTGCTTTGAAGCACGGAAAATTGAGAGCTGACGTGAATACTGCCGTGGTTCAGGGCCTCGCCAGACCTAAGAAAAATGCGCTTTTAGGAAGGACGTGATGAACGCGTTCGATTATGCTGTCAGAATGGGCCACCCTGCCTCTTCCTTCGCTTCTAATTTCGTGTTCACAGGCAGGCCTTCATTCCTGGCACCGTGCCGGTCCTCGCTCGGCATGAGCTGCTCTCTGAGCAGACCCCGTACCGGTGGTCAAGAAACAAAGGAACGTTCTTAGCACCTTATTACCACTTCAACCTGGCAATTGAGAACCGGAAAAAAAAAGAGCTCCCTCCATCACCTTGTGATGACAGTGCTACTCGACTGCTGTCGACGTCATACAAAAGCTCCTCATTGAAATCAATTCATTCCGCCCAACATATCAGGGGTGAAATTCTATTCACAGTGAGCTTGGTTTGAAAAAAAAGGGCACTGCATAAGTTTTCTAAAGCTACGGCTAGTGTTTTCAAATCCTTAAATCTCTGGCACTTGCTACTGGCTATAGGCTGTGAAAAAAAAACTGTACACATAAAGTAAGCGTTTCAAACTATTATTTTAAATATAATTTCTTCGATAACACCAAGTGGGGGTTTAGGAGCTCTTGAGAAATTAGTGACGTCAACAAGGCTATGAGAGAGGTGTGTGCTAATCCGTGATTACAGTTTATAGCTACTGTTCTTACAGCCCCTCTTTATATCACGCCTGTGTTCACTCGCAACCTATACTACTGTTTTAAACTTACCCAACAAAGCCTATCAACCCGGATAATCTGATAAACCTACCTCTATCTCTGTTTTCTCTCGGTCGCGCTGAGGACCCATTTTTATGCGATAGCAATTATATAGACACTCTCGGCTGGATTTCGCCGCCAACGTCGGTGTCAACGTCATCGTCATTCACCGTATATGTACACGTGCATATATGTATGAAAACGCAAGAAAAATAACATAGTCCAGAAAAAGACTCCGGCGCGCGAAATTGAACGTCTGAGCACTTGCTTGTGAGTGCGAGTCGTTAGCCACTGATCCACGAAGAAGCAAATCATCAACGTTGGAATATATCTATCTATTACCACTCGCGATGGGCCTTAGAGTATTTTAGAGCATAGTTAGTGCGTGGCAGCGTTTTCCTACAAGAATTACGACAGCGCGGTTTTCGTCTCACCGTAAAGCTTGATCGTTCCCTCCGTCTCGCCCAGCGAGTTCTTGGCGACGCAGTGGTACTCGCCAAAGTCTTCGGGTTTGAGCCTGCGGATTACGAGCTGCATCTGGACCTTGTACATGGCGTGTTGCACCGTTACGACCGAGTACTTGGAATTCTGGTGGATGATTGTGTCCGTGTTACGCGTCCAGTAGGTCACCGACTTGGGGTGCGACTCCAGATTGCAGTCCAGTGTCACGTCGGTATCGATGCTCGCGCCGACCAACTGGTTAGGTATCCATATCATGGGTGCGACTGCAAAAAAAAAAACATGCACGTTTATTATACGTCGTATCAGTTCTGAAAAAATTGATGAACATAAACAGAAAACTAGACATGTCAGTTACCCATACTTTTTGTTTATTACCGTGACAAGACCGCAAAGCATTGCCGCAATTAGAGATACCCTGCCGTGACACAGAAATAAGGGGCATGCATAAAAGAACATAATGTGGTGGAGGCTGCTTCGATCCCCAAGTCCTCTCCAACGTCACGTTCCCCTGGAGCTTCGTTCGGGTCGCCGCTTGTTTCCCCCGTCCACTGTCATGGCTCAAGAACCACTGCCCGGAACATCCAGCATCGCTGTCCAACAAACCATTCCTGCGTGGATCGTCGATGCCCGGCAGCGCGACCCACCCATATTCTCTGGTCTTCCACGCGACGACGTCGAAGTATGGCTGAAAGAATACGACATGACCAGTGTTTATAACCAATGGGATGAGCCTCAAATACTTCTTCACGTCGCCTTCTATCTGTCCGATATCGCGAAAACGTGGTTTTTTTAACCACAAGAGCAGCTTCCCGGATTGGCCTACTTTTGCTCAACAAGTCCGGAGGATTTTTGGGAAACCGAACATCCATTCCGAAGTGTCGAAACGAAAGCTCGATGGGCGTGCCCAACGTCCCGGGGAGACGTACACTTCGTACATTGAAGACGTCCTTGCCCTTTGCCACCGCGTGAACTAGGCGATGACAGAAGCTGATCGTGTTCGCCACATCATCAAAGGGATAGGCCATGTCGCGTTTAACGCTCTGGCTGTCGAAAACCCCACCAGCGTTGAGGACGTCATCACGACATGTTAGCATCTTGATGAACTCCAAGCCATTCGATTGCACCCAGACTACCCAGACGCCAGTGACAGCCGGCCTTCCTCAGATGCGAATTTGCGTGCGCTGATTCGCACTCTGATTCGCGAGGAACTTCAAGCGCAAAGGTTGTCATGTGCATCCACCCCTCGGCCTCACTCTCAATCTGCTAATCTGCGTGACATCATCAAGAGGAGCTCTCATCCATGAGTGGCGCTCTCCTATCGAACACTATGGTGCCACCAACGCCACCCATGACGTATTCGCAAGTCGCTGCCATGCCACCTGTCTTGGTTCAGCATGCGCATCCTGTTCCTGCGAAGCCCAACGTAGCAGCATTTGCACAACACTTGCCTGTCCCAGCGCCAGTACCAGCGCCTGTGACAGCTCCAGCACACGACGCCCCTGGCGCTCGTCTCGCCCAATATGTTATTATTGTGGAATTCGGGGCCATAGTTCACGATTTCGCCGCAAGCGCAACAGGACGAACGCCGTGGCTACGACGTTTACGAAAGGGATTCGGAGCCATCCCCGAACCAGTACCAGAGACACCCTACGACACGTTCCTTCTCTCCGATTTCTCCACTCTCCACACTTCGCCCTACCATCTCGGACGCCGCCGGTTCCGTTCACCTCTGCGACGCTCAACATCTCCTCTGAGACCGGCTGCACCTACTTATGACTACCACTCGGAAAACTAGCTGGTGCAGTTTTTGGAGGGAAAGCTGCATCGCTCGAACCAAGACCTCCAGAGGGCCAGCCAACTTGTTATTAGTGTATGCGGAAGGGGTACCAGTTCAGGCATTGGTGGACACGGGGGCTGCTATTTCTGTTATTCATGCGGATTTGTGTTCTAGTCTACGTAAGGTTACCACACCTTATACTGGCACTCTCTTACGTAGCGCAAATGACTCGCAGATACGGCCATCAGCACAGTGCACTGTTAGAGTTTTCATTGATGGGATCCGGCATCATATTCAGTTTGCCGTGCTGGCTTCTTAAGCTTTTATGCTTATTTTAGAATGGGACTTTCTTTCTGATGCTGCTGCTTCTATCTCTTGTCGACAACGACTCATACATATGCGAGAGACGGATGATATCTCCCCGAAATCATCACGTGACCGGCTACGAACAGCCAATGACTTCCTTGTGCCACCTAACCACGAGCATGTTATCACTGTTATGTCAGACTCCACTGACCATGGTAACGTCCTAGTCAGTCCATCAGCCCGTTGTCTATCCAGAGAGATTGCACTTTCATCGAGTCTTGTCCGCTTCTCCAACGGCACCGCATTTATCGCAGTACTGAATATCACCAATGAGCCGATTCTGCTGACCAAAGGCACTGTTGTAGTTTCCAGCGTGGACACACAACCTATCTCTGTAGTGGCTTCGGATACCAGTCTGGTGGAATCAAGTTCGATACCAACAGATGCTCCACCTACTACGGCTCTCGTCAATACCATCAGCACGGATCTCACTCCCCAGAAAGCAGACGAACTACTGGCGTTGTTGTCTAAACATAAATTTTCTTTCGACGTACATTCCACTGCTCTAAGCCAGACTTCTGCGGTGGCTCATCGCACACACACCGACGGAACTTCTATTGTCCGTCGTCAACCATACCGTGTTTCTTCCAGCGAACGCGAGATCATCGACAAGCACGTTGCTGATATGCTCAGGCACAACATCATCCGCTGCTTCTCAAGCCCTTGGTCGTCACCTGTCGTTCATGTACGAAAAAAAGACGGTTCGGTGCGATTCTGCGTTGACTACCGCGCATTAAACAATGTAACCAGAAAAGACGTATATCCCTTGCCTCGCATTGATGATGCCTTAGATTTCTTACAAGGAGCGGAATATTTTTTGAGCCTTGACCTGCGTTCCGGTTATTGGCAAATTCTAATGCACGAGGATGACAAGGAAAAAACTGCCTTTGCCACACCCGACGGACTTTACGAATTGAACGCCATGCCTTTCGGCCTCTGCATTGCGCCAGCAACGTATTGAACGAATGATAGACACTCTATTGTGGGGCCTTAAGGAAAACATGCTTATGTTACCTTGACCTCATCGTCATATTTTCTTCAACATTCGAACAGCACTTGCAGCGCCTAGATGAAGTTCTGGCGTGTCTCGCAGCTGCTGGCCTTCAGCTCAACACCAAGAAGTGCCATTTTGCTAGCAAAAGAATTGAAGTACTCGGACATCTCGTCAGCAAAGATGGAATTCGGCCTGATCCCGACAAGATTACCGCCGTTCTTCACTTCCCGGTGCCTCAACGCGCCAAAGAGTTCCGAAGCTTTCTTGGCCTTGGATCATACTTCCGGCGCTTTATACGAGATTTCGCCACCATTGCTGCGCCACTTCACCAACTCCTTTCTTCGAGAGCGTCATACGTATGGTCCGACGAATGCCAAATGGCTTTTGACACCTTGAAACGTGCCCTCACGTCTGAGCTAGTGCTTTGTCATTTTGATAACTCCGCACCCACGCTCCTCCATACTGATTCCAGCGGACACGGACTCGGCGCTGTACTTTTGCAAGGAACAGAGCGTTATGGCGAACGTGTGATCGCATACGCTAGTCGCATCCTCACAGCAGCAGAGAAAAACTACACCATCACCGAGCAGGAGTGTCTCGACGTTGTCTGGGCCATCCAGAAGTTTCGACCTTATCTTCACGGCCGCCACTTTACCGTCGTCACTGATCACCACGCTTTGTGCTGGTTGTCAACGTTGAAAAATTTGTCTGGACGTTTCGGTCGCTGGATACTTCGTTTCCAAGAATACGAGCTTGACGTTGCCTACAAATCCGGCAGGAAACACAACAATGCCGATGCCCTTAGCCGCTGTCCTTTACAATTCTCATCAGGCACTCTTGGCCTGTCGCAAACTGTGAGTGAACCCATCAAAGCGTCTCCGTCAGTTCATTCACTCGCTGCTGTCGACTTTCTTTCTACCTTCGGCAACGAGACGTTTGCATCCCATCAACACAGCGACACTTACTGTCACTCTATAATGCAGCGCCTCGAAGGCTCCTCTCGTCCTCCCGACGCCCGTGCCTATCGACAGCGCCGACGCCCACGCCTATCGACGACTGAAAACTCAATCCTTTACCGCTTTGTCTTCCACCCCGAAGGACAGCGCTGGGTTCCTGTTGTTCCTCGTTTCCTAAGGGCGCACACTTTGGAGGCATTTCACAATGACCCCAAGGCTGGTCATCTCGGTTTTCAAAAAACCTATGAACGCATTCGCAGTCGTTTTGCCTGGCCTGGGCTTTCCAAACTGCGTAGCGCCATATGTTGCGTCATGCTCGCTCTGCCAACGCCGCAAGTGACCCACTTTCTCCCCGGCCAGTCTTCTACAACCTTTCCCGTGTCCTGACACTCCCTTCGATGTCATTGGCATTGACCTCTACGGACCACTACCAATATCAGCGAGTGGCAAGCGCTGGATTGTCACAGCAGTTAGCCACTTAACAAGGTACGACGAAACAGCTGCGCTTCCTTCAGGATCAGCAGAGGACCTTGCCACATTTTTTTTGGAGGCAATCTTTCTAAGACATGGTGCACCACGCCTCCTATTGAGCGATCGCGGCAAGGCGTTTCTCTTGAAACTACTCGAACAAGTCCTCCACGCATGTAATACGATTCATAAGACGACATCCAGCTACCATCCCCAGACTAACGGCCTCACAGAGCGCTTCCGTCGAACTTTGACCGACATGATATCTATGTATATCAACGTTGACCACACCAACTGGGATACCATCCTGCCATTCGTGACTTTTGCGTACAACACCGCTACGCAGCGCACCACGGGCTATTCCCCATTCTTTCACTGATATGGCCATCAACCGACATCTCCGCTCGACATCACCTTTTTTGACGTCCCTGTGAACTCGTCATCGTCATCGAGGGAGCACTTAATCTCTCGCCTGGCTGATTGTCGCCGACGCGCCCACCTCAATACAGAGGCAAGCCAACAAGAGCGAAAGACTCGCTACGATGGCATCCACCGCGTAGTTCTCTTCAATACTCGAGACGAAGTACTGTTGTGGACCCCAACGCGGGTTCCCGGCTGTGTGATAAGTTTCACTCACGTTTCATCGGCCCCTACGCTATAGTCGAGCAGACGTCTCCTGTTAACTATCGAGTAACCCCTGTT